TTTTGAATCGAATTAATCGAACGAGCATTTATATTGATCCATAGACTATGACGACATAATATGCGATTTGACGGATGATTGGACCTTTCGCCTCAGTGCTGCCACCTCGCCCGACATTGCAGGAAACCGTCATTAAATATCGTTTCAAGTCACGTCATCTCTTTGGATCGTTAATGTAAAAGAAGTGGCGGGAAATCGATACCTTCGTGTATGTCTACGTACATGTAGGGATCGAACGATACTTTCGATTGCGAAACTCGATTCTAAAAGTTTTAGAATACTTAAGCTATACCTATTCCAAAAATTCTGAACTAACTTATTGAAGGCGATCAGTGGTTAGTAATAAGTAAAATCGTAATTTTCCAAATATAGCGGAGTACCTTTATTTACGGTTTTAAGTTCTCCATTGTAATACTAAACGATCAAATGGTTAGGAATTCAAAATGAAAAAAGTTTACTTAAGTAAGATATGTTATATTCAATATTAAAAAAAATAAAAAATAAATAGTTCCTTTAATTATTTTTCTCTCACAACAGTGCTATGTTGTTGATATATTTTCACTATGTAGAGATTTTTTCTTTTTATACTCTAAATTCATTGTGGATTTTAGGGAAATATTATTTTTTTAGCATTTTTTCTTGGTAGATAGAGAAAAGTCGCCACAGACTTGAAGCAAATTTCGGGCGACGTATCACATACTTACGAATAACGACTAAATTTCCTAATTTCACTATATTCAGAAGTGTAGCACGATATGATAATATTTATGATTTGGTATCATATTAATTTAATCCACTTTATAACAGAAACAATGCTCAGAAGTTTGAATACGAATTCGTTATCGAAAACTGTACTCCGATAAAAAATACGCTACATATATCATTCAGATAAATAATTTATTGTACCAAAGAGACTCAGTGCGTTGTGTACAATATAATAACAAATAGAATTGAAATTGCTATCAAGTCAATCCATTGTCATTTTGTCATAAAACTGACTTTTGTGTGCATGCGTTATTTGTGTTGGCATAGGTTTTTTCATTACCAAACACAGAAAATAAACACGATGTGATATCAGTAGACGATATGTCATTTATATATTTTTTAATTAGTTATGGGTATATGTTCAATTTCTGTGATTGTAAATGAAACTGTTTCAAAGAAATTGTTTATTTTTCTAACTAAATGTTTTTAGATTCTTAGCATTTTGAATTGCACCTATTTAAAATTGTTATTTGTCACTTTAAAGTAAATTTGAGTCACTCAAAAGTCTTTTATTGGTGCTCAACACTGGTTTAAAAGTTAATTACCAATCTAAAAACATTTAAAACTCTAGCTCACTTACAACTAGAACTAATTGTAAACAAATATACTATAATGTAATATTATGATGAATGTTTTATAATATTCCCTGCATCTTGTGTCAAAATAGATAAAACAAATATACTCTTATCTGTAAAACTATGTAAATAAACTATGAAAAACTGTTATTATAAATAAATGATGATGAGGAATTCTGATTTCAATAAATATTTAAATATTAACCTATACTTACCTCAATTAATATCTTATGAAACTTAAGCACTTGTTATTTTGCCATAATCGTTCGCTGGTCGCACAAAGCATCACTGTGGCGATATTAAGTAATTGTCAAAAATTGAGATTCAAAAATACCCAAGTATCATTATTCTTGGCGTAAGTTTCACTAATATTAAACTTTAAAAATAATTTAATAATGTCTGCTCATTTTGTATGCATTCGATATTGCAAACTTATACATAATGATGAAGTAGGCATAGCATTTAATTATTACTATTTACATGATACATTATGTGAAGATTCAAAAGAGCTTTTAATAAGTCTACTTGAAAAGAAGTTATTTTCATTCATTACCTAGTTCTAACAGTTTAATATTTTTTGAGATTCTTATGATTTTGTTTTGAGAAGACAGTTTAAAGCGACCATTCATTTTAGTATATCTAAGTACTTCATCCAATGAAAGTCAAAACAAAGTACTCATTTGCTCAGCTAAAACTTTTATAAATTATAGTTAAATAGTTTGTTTAAGATATTTTCGATTCTTATTTAATATTATTACCAATCAAAAAAATTAAAAAATTAAATTTTATTGATTTTTTTAATTAATAATATTCGTCTAGGGTCTAGGGTAAACCTAATAAAGGGTTTTAACTAAGATTTGTATGACTGAACTAGTGGCTATTACCATTTTTGTTATTGGCCTTGTTATGTTTATTTTTAAGTTGTATGTTTATGTGATAAATGTTATGAGAGGATTAATTTTAATACATAAATATTATTTTAATTTGTACCTGTATAATGAAATAGATAAAGTAAACTATTTCATTATTCATGCAAACTTTAAAAATTCTTTAAAAATATATACTTATTATTGTAAGATTTATGCAGGATACATTGTAATTATTACTATATTGCTGTTACAAATGTTCACTGGAGTGAAATTATGTCCCTTATATCTATGCCTAGAATATAAAGCATATTTTGTAATTTAAGGCATTAATTAGAATAAGTTGATATATATAAATAAAGAAAAAAAAACAAGACTTTTTACCAAAAATATAATTTATGTGTCATCAATATTTTGGTTTTATTTTGAACCCCTTGCAGTTGGGGCAAGGGGCAATGTGTTCCACGCCTATAAATGCAATGCAAGTTGAATCTGGTATTCCACCACTGGCTCTACATAGGCTAAAAATTGCAGAACAGTTCTGTCTCAAATTGATAGCAACAGAAAACAACGCTGTACTTGATAGAATCTTACCCCAGGAACACCTTCCAATTATTGGTCAGTATGTTAGAGCTAATCAACTAGGAACAGGTCAATTTCCTGAGTTGTTATGTATATTATCTTGTTGTTTATCCTTCATGTTAAACAAAAAACTAAATATATTTTCTTCCAAACCTTCCTTTGTACAAATTTAATTTTAAAGAGATTCCAGATGTTGATGTAAATATAATTCCTCAAAGGATATTTGAACAAAATGATCTCTTACAGCTAATTGAATAGCTACCATCCCAATATAAAATTTATACAGATGGATCCAAAACTATAGACACTGTAACTGTTCTGCTTTATATGACCCCACAGCTAAACTTACTAAATGTTTCAAGTTAGATTCGAAGTTAATATATTTACATAAATTGTGGGTATGACGCATTTCAATGTTTCTTGGAGTGTTTGGCACGAAATGTATCGAGTAAGCTTTCTCGACAAGCTTCTGTGAGGTAGTCAACACTACCATAAAGTTCTCAGATCCACTTGACCGATTTAGCGAATATTTTAAAGATTACGTTAATTCTTCAATTGCGCAAACGATTGTAACACAAAATCACACCAATTTTATTTCATAGTATCCAATATGAACGAATTTAAGAATAATTAAAATATTGCGCCAACCGCGCTCGATGAATTGCCGCCAAAAAGTTTTTTAAAGATTCTCCTATTTCAGGGAAGGCAAAGGGAACAATGCCGATACAGCTTAGTCTCAGTGAACTAAGTGACATTGACACTTGAATAACGTTTTATCAAGTGCTAATAATAGTGATGACAATATTCTGCCTTAACTGCTTAAAAAATGCAATGGTGTCGATTCTGGCACGACTCTCTAAACCTAAACTTAAATTTGACAACAGTGCATCTTTGTCATTCTCTATACAGAATGAAAAGGAGAGACTGATGTTAAATTTAGTTTTAAGTTTAGAGAATCATGCCAGAATCGACGCCATTATGTTTTAAACCGCTTCATATTTATTTAATACAAATATAACGTTATAAAATAAATCAACACAAAAGATGTAATCTTAAAACGAAGTAAGGAAAACCTTACCGGTCCGGCAGAAAAGGGCTGGAACCAAGTTCAGTAAAACCGAAATAGAAAAAAAAATGAAATTCCGTCCGTACTAGGGATGTCGACAGTTGAAAAAAATATCGATATATCGATACATCGATCTTTTAAAAAATATCAATATCGGCTTGGATATATCGCGAAAAAAACATCGATATACCGATATATCGGACTAATTTTCCCAAAAATATCGTACAGTATCTCACGAAATATGACACGCGGAATAATAATGGAACGAAAATTATCTCCCTAAAAATAGACCCTATTTTCGAATGATGAAAATTGTTGCAGGGCCTCTCGGGTAATGATTGCAGGGTCTCTTTCGTAAACAAGACTAGACAGTCACACACTTCACAAAATATAATGGAAATCAGCACAACTAATTCACCAGCGAAACAGATTTACAAATAATAGACAATACTAAATACAGCACAGATCATAGATATGTTGAATATCATTAATCTAAGATCCAGTTACGATTTTTCCAGATACGAATTTAGCCAGGTCGTGATATGCCGCTGATAATTAAAAAAATATCGTTTTTGATACGAATTTCGATATTGGTTATTTTGTATCGATATATCGAATCAAAATATATCGGCAAAAAATATCGATATATCGAACAAAAAATATCGATATATCGATACATCGATATATTTTCAACAAGCCTAGTCCGTACGACAACATTATAACAAGGAGTTTTTGGCGGGATTTTATCGAGTGCGGTTGGCGTCTTATTTTAATTATTCTTAAATTCGTTCATAGTGTATATTGTAAAATAAAATTGGTGTGGTTTTGTGTAACAATTGCCTGCGTAACTAAAGAATTAGTGGAATCGTTAAAATATACGCTATTCCGGTCAAGTGGACGTGAGAATTTTATTGTAGTCTTGACTACCTCACAGAAGCTTATCGAAAAAGCCAACTCGATACATTTCGTGCCAAACACTCCAAGAAACATTAGAATGCGTCACACCGACATTCTAATGTAAAAACAAAAAGAAGATTAATTTAATTAAAGACCAGGTTGTATGGGCATTGTTCCCTTTGTCTTCCCTAAAACGGGAGAACTTCAACAAAAATAAAACATTATAACAACAAAACTCTAACCTCTATTTATTTCTTTCGCTATTAAGAAAATCTTGTTCTAATACCAAATTATCATGTATCCTACATTTGTGACTCGAGGTTTATTACAATTACGGCTAATCACTAGTACGAAACCCCTTAATCTTCAATTACACACAGGTGTATCATGTTTTGCCGCCGTGAAGAAAACCTCCGCTGCTGGAGGTAAATAATATTTCAACTAATTTTAATAGTAATCAAATAATGTATCGCTTTCAACCACCAAATGGTAAAACTGTACTTCCAGGGCCCAAAAGGTGATACTTGTTTTTTTTTGTAGAAAAGGTCTTTTTAACAGTTTTTTTTTTGGCGCTTCGCCGGCGGCTGCCGCGGCACGCTCGCTTTGCTCGCTCGGCTCGCGCGTTATGGTCACAACACTAACCTAACCTAACCTAGTGTGAAGTATCACCACTTGATAAGAAAAGTAAAAATTTTCAATATTTTTTTCTAAAAAACTACCAGTGCATAAGTGTGACATTTTTTTTAAATAATGTGGTTAACAGAAACCTTTTTAACAACAAAAATGCGAAATTACAACCAACAAAACTGTGAAGTTTTTACTTTTGGGCCCTGGAAGTACAGTATATCCCTTACCTGATAGTGATAATCATCGAGAGATTTTAAGAGCTAAATGCTAACGTTTAGTCACTACTTTAGTGACTGCCGCATCAGGCACTATCTACTACTATCATTCCTTCGTTGCTCAACTTTTGCATCATTCACGTACACTTTCATCTGCATGCCAGTCGTAGTCATCCATCATTAGGTTAATCTTTGTTTTTAATCACTTCAAGGGGTAATGGGCCTGGGGAAAGGCAAAAAGAAAGGAGGTAAACTGACCACTATGGAAAAACAACAGCTACCAGTTGAAACTGATCCAGAAAAGCTAGTTAACTATGTGTGTGGATCCAACATTTACACAACGGGGGAAGATGTCAAGGTAACTTTAACTTAAGTTTAAGTAAGTACATTATTATATCAATTGCCACATTGCCAGTTTTTCAGTTGAAAAAAGCTACACCAATTTCTTCGATTGTGTTTCATTGTGTTTGTAACATAGAAAAGTATGTTTGTAAAACACCAGAAAAAAGTACTTTCCTTCACTAGTAAATCAATAAAGCTTAGCAAAACAATAAATCAATAATGCTAAGCAAAAAAAAAATTATGGAAGTGCTTAGCACAGCCAATCAATGAATAAACATCTGAGAGAGACAAACTTCTTAGCAATCCATGGATTCACTGTGCGGGTGCCGGGTCGTGTGTGAGAGAGAGAAACTCTGAGCAGTTCCTGAGACTTTTTGCCCTGCTTGAGTTTCCCGCCCTTCCTAGCCAAATTTGATAGGAGCCTGTTAGTGCAGCCTTAGTAACTCATTCCAAAACTTGCTGCAGTTCTCAACAGGCCTAGATCTATGTTCTATGTTAGGGGTTTTGGTTTACACACTTAGTCTCTTAAGTGTCCTATTGTGCGTGAGCCGTGGCGGCTGGTTATTCCAGCCAGCCCACCTCTCTCCAGCAGATCAATCTTCAGTCTAAATATGAATAAGAAAGGTTAAGGTCTTCATATTTCATATTTCAAAAGTAAATTATAATGATTATTTCTTTTGCAGCTAAAAGATGACAGTGAGTACCCAGAATGGCTGTGGTCTCTAAACACTGGTGCCGCTCCACGAATCGAAGACTTAGACCCCAATACTAAGGAGTATTGGTTGCGGGTCAGAGCGGCTGGCATGCGACGCAACAACAAACTACGGTCAATGCGCAAGTTTTAAATGCAATTGTTTATAGTGAAACTATAGTTTACCTAATGTAATTTGAACTTTTCTCCCTAATAAATGAAAAGTAAATTGGATCAGTTACTCTAATTTATTTATTTTATGTTTTGTCTCTGTTCATTGAATTACAAATGACAGGAGTAATATGAGGCGTAACTAGTCTAAGATTATTCTTCGTTTATATAAGAGGGGTTGGAGTGTGAGGCCATACCTATTGTGTCACAATCAATTGATTATATTTGTTTCTTAGGTTTTCACGCACATCACTCATTAAATAAAACTAGTTTTTTATGGGTTAATGCACGAAACTTTATTTATTTATTGCCTTTCGCAGCCTTTACAGGCCGCGTTGTCAGAATCAATTTTTTATATAATTTTATTGAGCTACCTTCGAAAGACTTTCTTTCTTTTCTTTCTTTAAGAGAAAAGTCTTTCGAAGTTAGCTCGACAAAATTAAATAAAAAATTGATTCTGACGACGCAGCTTGTAAAGGTTGCGAAACGTCAATAAATAAATAAAGTTTCGTACATTAGTACTGTGAAAAATTAGTTTTATCAATTGATTAGTAAACTTTCTGACTTGTTAAGAAAATATTACCCATATTTCACATAATTTCAGAATTTGAGTCAGTCGCAATGTTGCCAAAGAAGAACTCCTATATATTTCTTATATAATTTGCAATAAGTACAATATCCTCCTCTCTCTACTCACTCCTATCATAAGGTGCTGTCTTTGATTCAAATTATTGTTACTTGATGTTTAAGAATAGTGATAAAATTAGATAACTATTTATAAGATATGGATGAAATAAAATTTGAAAGACTAACTTCAATATTTTTTATTATTCAATTTCCATAATTTTCTTACGTCACGTTATAATTTTAACTTTGTACAGGACAACTGATACATGAATGAAATTAATTCAAACAATATAAAAAATCAACTGTTTAACAAAACAATTTCACATATTACTTCTATTCAATAGAATATAAAAATACATTGCCATAGTATTCACAATATTTTGTACATCATAGACGAACCATATTTATGGATAATTATGTTCAATACTACAAATTAATTTTTCTACTTATTGAGACTCGTGAAGGAAAAAAATCCCTTTTATTCGACTGCAAAGTAGACGAGCTACTGATATTAATAAACTAGTAATTTTCTTCTACAGTCGAATGAAATCTTAGTCAATGTTACGTTTTTCAAACCAATGCCACAGTCCATAAGGATTGATAATGAGGTGGCAGACCGAAGGCACTATAGTATATATATAATATATATTTTAACTACAAGCAGTCCATAGTGTCTTCTCTGACGATCATAGGCGGCGCGCAGTCTCCGTGCTTCCTACCGAACGAGTACGCGTACGGATTCTGCAAGACAAAAAAAATATCATCATCGGCTTATTAACGACCCCACTGCTGGGGCACATGCCATCCCTATGGATGGAAAAAGGAAATTGGGGCGTGACCCACCACGCGGGCCCAGCGCGGAATGGTGGGTGGTAAAGACTGCAGACGTTGCCGGGACCAACGGCTTAACGTGCCTTCCGAAGAACGGAGGAGCTCGAGATAGTAAACTTTTGGTCACCCATCCAATGACCGACCACTGCGATAGTTGCTCAACTTCAACGATCGCAGTCGAACGCGCTAACCACTTGCGCCATCTAGCTCCTCATTTTAATTTTTCTGGAATTGGAGTTAATAAAGACGTAGATGGAGCCTTACTTTTATCAAGCCAATCTTTATCAAGTAAGTTAATTAATTACCCGATTAAGCAGTGTACGTGCCGGGTAGGTCCGATAAAGTAATATATACGTGGCGGGATTCCTGAAGCCACAACGTGCCCCACTGCTTAGTGGGGTTATAAAAATACAAATAAAGCTTGAAGGGCGTTGAAGTCCATCACATAAGAAGTCTTCTCTAATTTTCTTTAAATATTTGCATGAAGTTTTAACTTTTTATAAAAACAGTTATTTTTAATGCTCCTCGAACTAGTGACGTGTCTTAAAATGATCGATATTTTTATTAATCATTAAAAATAACTGTTTTTATAAAAAGTGAAAACTTCATGCAAATATTTTAAGAAAATTAGAGAAGACTCCTTATGTGATGTACTTCAACGCCCTTCAAGCTTTATTTGTATTTTTGTAACACCCTGTATAGTACGGGAACACGTCTTAGTCCACTTACAACACTCAGCTTTAACACCGCTTTTACCTAACACCACCCTGAAATAAGGCGACTTTTCGTTTAAGTTAAGTTACGGTCCTGCTCATTTCACCGAGCCCCAGGGTTGCCTTGAATGAGGAGGGAAGAGTCCCAGATACCTTTTTCTCGCTCCCCTAGTGGTTGAAGGATGCGTAAGGATTTTCCCCAGATACAAAAAAATGGCCTTCCAGGTCAGGTCTAGCGTGAGTCACCTATACGGCCTCCCCCCGGCTGACTCCTCAGGTTACAATAATTAGGCTCCAGACAGAGGGGAGACTCCGCGAGTTGAGATACCATCCGCTAGGAATGCCTCTAGAGGACCTCGTTAATTTTCGGCTTGAGGTCCCAGCCGTCCCCAAACCCGGTGACGCTGTAAAGGTTATCTGGAACACGGTAATGTTATCTATACAGTATTCTATCTTCATACAAACGAACGTTCGGAAAGCGTGTCATTCCTACGCCACTCGAGTTGGCGCGGCACCCGGTGGGCATCCAGTCGCGAATGCGCCGCAGCGACGACCGAACGGTGTAAATTGTTTTTTAAGCAGTTAGCCGTGCTTAAACGTTTGTATTGTGAATATTTGATTGAATTAAGTAGATACCTACATAATTTAATATGGCAAAGAGCAATAGTCGATATTGTGCTGTTTTTAGTTGCTTGAACTCTTCGATAATTAAACTTTTCATACGAATGCGTATTTGTTATACTATTAAAGGACATCGACGAAATCGGCCCTAGCATGGCCAAAAGAATGTCCTTCATCATTATTTTTCTATTATTTTTTTAACTTATTAGCAATTAATCATAGTAAACGGACAATCTGTTTAAAAAAATAAAAGTTCTGTTACTAGATACTACAGTCTGTTCATCCAACTTGTACTATTTGGTAAATATTATAACTATATTATTATCACTATATTATAACGATTTATTTTAATAGTTTATTGGCTTCCTTAATATTTTATTTTTAAATGGGTTTTGTTAAAAAGTTATTACCTTAAGGCGACCTAAGGCGGGCAGCCCTACCGCATGGATACGCCCTGCTCGTAGGCAGTTATTTCAAGGACAAGGCCCAGTCACAATACTGTATAGATAATATTACCGTGCCTGGGACCATCAGCATTCACATTCGAAAAATAACCAACATAAATTATGGATACATATTTTGTGTCAAATACTTCTATTTCCGTTTCATTGAATCTCAAGTCACAACGATACTAAAGAATATTTCACATCAAAGAAATAGTGTGCACGGACGACTGACATCTGAAGTGAAACTTCTTTTCTTAAATAATCTAACATTTGGCGGTGCATAACATGGTGGCATACGGGAACGGAGTAGCGCTCTCATAACATGGTGGCATACGGGAACGGAGTAGCGCTCTCATAACATGGTGGCATACGGGAACGGAGTAGCGCTCTCATAACATGGTGGCATACGGGAACGGAGTAGCGCTCTCATAACATGGTGGCATACGGGAACGGAGTAGCGCTCTCATAACATGGTGGCATACGGGAACGGAGTAGCGCTCTCATAACATGGTGGCATACGGGAACGGAGTAGCGCTCTCATAACATGGTGGCATACGGGAACGGAGTAGCGCTCTCATAACATGGTGGCATACGGGAACGGAGTAGCGCTCTCATAACATGGTGGCATACGGGAACGGAGTAGCGCTCTCATAACATGGTGGCATACGGGAACGGAGTAGCGCTCTCATAACATGGTGGCATACGGGAACGGAGTAGCGCTCTCATAACATGGTGGCATACGGGAACGGAGTAGCGCTCTCATAACATGGTGGCATACGGGAACGGAGTAGCGCTCTCATCACTCTTAAGTAATTTTAAGTTATGATTTTATTTTATTTTTTAAGCATTTAACTGCTTGATGTTTAAATCTAAAGAAAAGTTTACTAGAAAAAATTTTAAGTTTCTTGAATATATAAAATGGTTATTTATGATATTGGTGTGGTGAGTTGGTTGTTGCAGACGAGTAGACGATTGTAAGAATTGTCTATACTTATAATAAATCTGTAGAGAGGTCAATTCTGTACATGAAATATATTTTCAAAATAACTATCAGGGGGTGATTAGTGATCGATACTGATGCCAAAAATGCAATCAGTAAAATTTTTGTCTGTCTGTCTGTCTGTGTGTATGTTCCTTATAGAAACAAAAACTACTCGACGGATTTTAACGAAACTTGGTACAATTATTCTTCATACTCCTGGGCAGGTTATAGTATACTTTTCATCACGCTACAATCAATAGGAGCAGAGTAGTGAAGGGAAATGTTGGGAAAACGGGAGAAGTTACTCCATTTTTTAAGCTTCCGTCGCGTGCGCAGCCTTAATGGTTAAAGTTACATAGAAATCATGTATAACGGAAATATTCTACATAAAATTGTCTAAAAAATATCCTGCAACAGCATATGTCTATCTTTTATAGTTTACTCACAATAATACGTGTAACTCCTGATAACTTAACAGTTCGGATCATTCTGATTATATTTGTTTACTCTTACGTTTATAATACTCTCACTCATCCCTAATTTAAAAAAGTTAACATAATTACCTATTCAATAAAAAAAGAATCATAAAAAAAGAATTAAATAAATAAATTCAATGTGTACAATACACGCCTGAGAACAAAATCTAAAGTCTACACTACAGCTCTACGCCGAAGCGAAGCGAGGGCGGGCTACTAGTATTAAATATTCTTTAGTTATAGTGCCAGTGTAATACTTTTTATATACTTATATGTATTTCCGTTTTGTTCATGTTGAATTTGCCAGTAATTGTTTTTGCACTATGTTGAAAATTATTACATATAAGTGTGATTATGTAAGTTAAGGTGTAAAAATGTTGGCAGACCTTTAATAAATCAATAAATATGTATATAAACATAGTATTGAGGGTACACTCACTAAACACTGTATTTCATTATACAAGTCTCTAAACAATCCCACTTGAACACTTTTGTTGCACTTTGATCGCCTTTGGATTCGCACCGAAATCGCTGTTGAAACTCAACTGTCTCTGCGCGGCGCCAATCGCGCTTATATACGCCGATCGACGAATTCTAGA